GGCGGTAAATATTTTGTGAAAATGGTAGGCCTGAATAAAAATATCAGAAAATAATTTCATATTATGGAGATACGAGTAGTTTCGTAGTTTGTGGTGAAGCCGGGGTTAGGTGTGAAGAGAGCGGAATGGCAAACGAGAAAATGGAAACTACGTAAACGGGATGTTTATTAAAAGTCACTTCAATGCACATACGATGTACATGGGCATTTTGACTTCATGTCATGACACGATGTTCATGGGCATTCAGATGGAGTGATGAGATGGAAGAAGATCTGAGAACCCTAAAAGTGAAAAGATGGAGAAAAAAGCAGAAATCGGAGAGATTGGGCTACCGCCATAAAAGAAGCCATGGCAAAACTGTACTGCCGGAGATCTGACTGAAGAAGAGGAATATAGTACATTTATTTCTATCTCTTCGCTAACTTTTAAAGAAAAAATGGAGCCATTTTTGAGAATTAAAAAAAAATCTTTAAATTACACATTTAATTTAATATTACTCCAAAACTACTAAAATTTCCCAAAAAAAGTGCATGTCCTTGATGAAAAAAGTAATTATGGAGAACGAAATTTGATTTAATTTGAAGAAAAAATCTCCATCTTCAAGATTGTAGTTGTGAAGAGTCCCCCCCCCCCAAAAAAATCCAAACAATTTGAGAATTTACCAGAAACAATTTCTTTTATGTAAACTTAACCTATTTTTACATTAAGAGGGTGTTGACCCCAAGAGGGCGCATGCGCTTGGCGCGCAGTCTTCGCGCCCGACGTGGATGCGAGGGACTCGCTGTTGATCTTTTCTCTCACCTATCGCGGGCCACAATAAATGGCAGCGGGGGTCGCATGCGGCCCGCGGCCCGCCAGTCGGACAACCCTGGTTTAGGCGCTTGTGTTGTTAACAGACGGAAGGACGTATAGGGAAAATTCCCCTTCATCGGAGACAGGCCTCCCCTCCACCCCAAACGTGTATTTCCGTTGAAATCTTAAAATCGTTTTCCGTAGCTTACGTAACTTTCTCTATAATGTACTCCACTAGAGATGATGCTCTCCACATATACTATACTAGAGGATATGTTTTTTTAATACCTATATTTCATCAAATCCCACGAAAAGTACTTATAATATTTGACAAATTGTTCATAACTTTATTTTAAAACCTGTAAAAGTGTTTCCAACCAGCAACATTTTTTCCCCACATCGATACTCGAATTCAGGACCATCGAGTTAACTCGTCGAAAAGTAGCAAGGATCTGGAAGAACGATCAGTTCAATCGCTCCATATAATTTCCAAGTGATGCAAAAGTGTAAAATTATAACTGTCAGTTGAAAAAAAAAAAATTCTAATAGGAGCCACTTAACACACAAGATTTCCTCCTCACTTGAAAATAGATGGAAGAGCCATTACAGAAACCAGACTTGCAAACATACTTGGGAATCTAGCTGGATCCAAAACATATTTCTGCCCCATGTCAAAATTACTCGCAAAAAAAAGAAAGTTATTTGTTCTACAAACTTAGAGGAGTAAGTCAACAGATCATAAAACTAAAGATATCAATTCTTAAAATAATTTATAAGGGCGCATTTCAGACTATCATAGGTTACGGAGAAGCATTGTGGGCATAGAGCTGGACTTACAAGAATTAGTAATGTACTCAATAGTACACAGCGCGACGCATTACTTGCTATCACAGGCGCCTTCAACTCCTAGCAGGTTTGTTTGCATCAGAACTGAAAGTGAGAAAACTCGCAGCAAGACGTGCTCTACGAAATCACGAAACTGTGGAAATTTTCGGAACGACTTTAGTCGCAGCTGAAGAGATGAGAGAAAAGAAGCTGATTCGTTTGTTGAAGAAGGAGTGGCAGCGGCGGTGGGACGCGTGTCACAAGAAGGACGACAAAAAATGTGTGCTAAGTGTACAGGCTAAATGGTTCGAGAGAAACAATACAGTTCCGAAATAGCTACGGAATCTTTTCCGTGAATCTGTGCAGAAGAGGCCTAACAGACTCCCCCACGTGCCCATGTGGAATGTCAGACGAAACTGTTGCACACGTCTTCACTGAATGTGAGCTACATGCCGAGTATCGCCTGTCGTTATGGCGTAGTTCAGGAATTCTACCTAATACAACTATCTAGGACCAACACGAGGAGGAATTTGAGAGAAAAACTAGTGCTGCTAAAACAGACATACTTTCTCGCCTCTTAGTAACGGTTATGTAATAATATTGTACCGCATTTCTGTCTATATCAACACATTTCAGTCGATGAGCGCTGACAACTAAGCACGCATGCAGTGATGGGCGTTGCCAACAATGGGCACATATTTCTTATCAATTCTTCCTAAAACGCTATTTTGCCGTTAATGGAAGGTAGCCCTTAGTTGGTGTGAAACATGTACATATTTCTTTAATTTCAAGTAAAAATTACACAAAACTACTAGTTTTTTTTTTCAAAAAATTGTATATAACCTTTTTTGAAGAGCTACTTTTGTGCAACAGACTTTCTCTGACGCAAAAATCTCTATCTTCGATTTTGTAGTTTTAAAAAGCTTTTATTCTCGAAAAAACGAGCAATACCCGCAAATATGACAACCACCATATTTTTATGGCCCCTTATTACATAAGTGAAGAAAATGTAAAGAAAAAGTTTGGAACGGTTTTTGAGATTTTTTGTAAATTTCAATCGCACAATTACGCAAAAAACTGCTCGTTTTTTCAAAAAATGTACATGAACTTTTTTAAAGGGCTAATTTTATACAATAGACTTTGTCTGAGACAAAAATCTCTATCTCCAAATTTGAAGTTTAAAATGTTTTTTTTTTTTTAATTTTCGAAAAATCGGGGTTGTTAACAAAAATGAGTCGTGCACCATACTCTTAAATGTCTTTTGCACTTTTCAACAACAAAATTTAATCAAAAAATTTTTAAATATTTTTTTTAATTGTAAATGTCCCAGGACTTTTATAAAAAGTACCCCCTAAAATTAAAATATCGATTTCAACTTCTCTAGGATCCATGACATCAGCTAGAACAAATGGGGAATATCAATTTTGGAGAAAATCGGCCTAACTGTTTATGCGCTAGCGTTGTGCGGACGGACGGACAGACAGACAGAAGTTTTGCTGTCAATAGATTTTTCGCATGACGGACGCACAAAAGATGGATTCTGGCTACAGCACGTATTAGAGGAATTCCTGCTATTAGTGAAGTCGATGGGAAGTCAAGAGGGGGTATATTATTAATTTCTCTCTCTTTTATTAATCAGTTGCACCATTCTTGAGTGTTAAAATCCCTCTCTCAAACAATAAAGGCAATGTATGACTGATCCAAGAATATGTAAGAAATTGTTTATTAGTAGGTACTCCTTTATTTGATACACCTATGAATATGTCAGCTGCTGGTTTAAAGTCCCACGCTCCTGCGATACTATATTTATTGTTTCGGTACCAGAAGCCATTTAATATTTTGTTCTCAACATTTCGAAAATATACAACAGATGTTCTGTTCCTTGTCTTTTATAAACATGTTTTCTCCATATTTTTGAAGGAGGCACGGTTATTATGTGCTGCTATCGGGTCGTAAATCTCCCTGCATTCACCTGTCAAATCATCAATATGAAAATGGCATACATCTGAATAGTCTTCAAGGGAAGGATAGGATATATGAACTGATAGTATCATGAACATTAGTGGCTATGGGAATCCCTTTGTTTTCCTCTTTTTCTTGTTTCTTCTTGTTTCTTCTTGTTTCTTCTTCTTTCTTCTTCTTTCTTCTTCTTCTTCTTCTTCTTCTTCTTCTTCTTCTTCTTCTTCTTGCTTTGTCAGGAAATGTGTTACTATGCTTCTTTTGTGACCAAATCCTCGTTAGCAATGCGTGGTATTTTCCGACAACATTAACGATTATTATTATTATTATTATTATTATTATTATTATTATTATTATTATTATTATTATTATTATTATTAACTGAGCAAAGTGGTTCAGTGAGTAGCACACTGACTTCGCAGTTGGGAGTCCCAGGTTCGATCCCCGGGTTGGCCATCCTGACCAGGGTTTTCGTGGTTTCCCTTTCTCATACAGGCGAATGCTGGGATGGTTAAAAAGGCCACTGTCGTCTCTTTTCGTCATCATCCTATCACCTCATAATTCATAATTGATGGCTTAACAAGCTTGTCTTACCAAGGGATACAGCCGAAAAGCTGATCCCCATTATGACACATGTTAATTTCTCTCCGGGGTAGAGTATGATTGGGCTTGGAAGAGAACATTTGTAGTGTAGCCAGAAATGGGCAATAATAATAATAACAATAACAATAATTATTAGCATAAAAAGAAACGAACGTCATTTTATTTAGTTGAAATGCTTTTGATGTAAGTAGATCGTGTTAGTTGCCAGAACGTATAGGCCACTGCCACTCTTTACAGAACTTGCAAGCGCGAGTTTAATCTCAGTAAATATTTAAAAAAATTAGTATTGAATCACTTTTTATTTATAACGACAGTAGGAATTCAAACATACTGCTTTAGAGAGATCCTTAGTAATTTTGGACAACTTCAGAATAAAAAGAAAAATTTGGTGAAATTTTAAAATCTCGTAGCTCGCTTACGACTCTTCAATTTTGTATGTGCTTGAGAAAAATAATTTATTAAGCAAATTTGTAGAGACTTGTATTTAAAAGACTTTAAAGAAATTTTAAAGACTTTAAAATTGTACAGAACTATTTTTGAACTAAGGCCAACCATTAAAAAAATATTACGCAAATACAAGAAACTGCCCGATTTTTTTTGCTATCAAAACATGTCCCGAAGTATTTCCAGGTGGAATACTTAGGGTTTTCTAACTTATAACAATATAAACTTCTCCCTCACCTTTTGCACGGTAAAATGACGAATTGACTCCGCTATATGTCTAGTTGTGTCATTGGCCCATCTAAAAGGAGGAAGCAAAGCTGACTGCAACCAAGGTCATTGTGTTCTAGGGAACCGGAGCAGGGATAGTGCCATACTGCGTTCGGCCTCGGTCAACTTACTGCTGTGAGGAGGAAGTGGGAGAAGGTCATTTGGAACCTGTGGCTGCTACCTGATGGGAGTATGGAAGATAAAACGGAAGTTACAGAAGAACCACAAACTATTAGCTCATACAATGTGTTCTGTTGCACACCTACAAGAAATCACGAATCGTTTGCAGTCCAAACGAAGAGCTCACGCTGAAACAATATAATAAAAGTGAAAGTTAATGAGACGAGTTTCCTTGTTCCGTTTATTGTGTGTTCACATGTTGACGGTAATTGTTGATGTCGCGGTAAGATACACTTCAAGGTGAACTTCGCGGACATTATACCTAAAGACTCAACCAGTGTCAGTCATATTTTTCGTGTTCGCCGTTCCACCTCGGCATATCCACTACGGGATTGCCACCTGTTAATTGCAGCTGCCGATAAATCCTTTAAATGCGAAATGTTATACAACTACACGATGTTTTAGAGCGAAATAGAGGGCTGGAGCCTGTAAATTATTATCGCTTGTTTCGCTAATATCTGCGCAACATCTTGGTTGTGCCTAAGTATGAAGCATTTGCCTGTCACAACATATGGAATAGTTGAAATGAATCCCGGTAGTATGCCTATAAAATACCTATTTGTATCATCTCATAAATTGAATGAAATCGACTTATAATAAGATCGATTGGCGGTGGATGACTTGTAGTCGAACTCTCAATTGTTCCTCTGCTGGTTGGTTGGAGAAGCTGTAGGCTGGCTGAATGTGTAGCAGTTCTGCGGTGCAGTGCGGTGTTAAGTGCAACTTGTGTTGTGGTGCTGGATGGACTTGTCATTAAGAAACATGGGGAACTGTTGTCGCTTTTTGTAATACTGTGTTATTTACCTCATGTGAAATATAAATAGTAGTGTTGAAGAAGAACATAGCACGTAAACAGCCTAAGTGAGATACATCTGAGTGGCATTCTGTTCCCCTAACTCCATATTACGAGAGAGCGTTGTCGTAATATTTTATTGACAAGGTTCATTTTTAGAAATTTCCATCTGATAGCGGCGCATCATGCCTAAGATACGCGCAAAAGTTGCTAACTCTTCGTGGCTTAGACAAAGGGAATTAGGGCAACGATTACCCCTGGGACATTCAGACCATTTTTCCAAGGGTTTGTATTCATCTATTTTGCCATGCCATTCATGGGACCATGGAGAAAATTTGAGAAATGCCATGCACGGCGGTGTGTTTAACCTTGAATTCTCCCCTGATGGGTAAGTTGCATTACTTTTAATGTATATTCCACCTGAACCCACATACATTCACCTGTACTCCAGGAGTAAATGTTTTAATGAAAGTTTCTGAAGTGTTGTTATTCTTTCAGATCACTTCTTGTGGCAGCCTGTGAAAAAAAGAGTATATTAATGTTTGATCCTCTGTGTCGTAAATTGATTCATGCTGTTGATAATGCGCATCGTGATTGTGTCAATTGTGTTAGGTAAAAATTTGTTTGGATTGTATAGATACTATATACATTTGTAGGCTGCAGAATCCACTCTACAATCTGCTTTGTAAATTTCAGGTTTCTAGATTCAAGGGTCTTTGCTACTTGCAGTGATGATAGTACAGTAGCACTATGGGATGCCAGAAACTTAAAATCTCAAATACGAACTCTACATGGCCATTCAAACTGGGTGAAAAATATTGAATTTTCCTCACGTGATGGTTTACTTGTGACATCTGGTTTTGATGGAAGTATTTACACCTGGGATATAAACAGGTGAAATTTACTATGATTTCATTCCTGTTAATAAGTTTTATTACCATTCTCCAATTTGTTTTGTGCTGATTATATAAAGTAATTCTTGGATCTCTTTTTAATAGTTACACTGAAAGTGGATTTGTGTACAATAGAGTATTTCATACTAATGGTTTGATGCGGACCAGGCTAAATCCAGATGCATCAAAAATGATAATTTGTACCACAGGAGGCTATCTAATGATTGTCCATAACTTGGATTTGAATACACTTGCCCAAGATCTCAATGGATTTAAGGTTAGTATCCATTTTGTTTGCTTACTAAATTTCTCCATATTAATAAAGGCACATAGCAGCACTAATTAAACGTGTTATTAGAAATATTCCTGCGTGCTCTTCTTTTTCTAATGTAACTGGTTTATTTCCGAGAAAATCAAATAATATTTATGACTGGAAGTATTTACATCTTTGTATTTCTCTTCTACCGATAAAAGTTAACATTAGAAGAAGTAGAAAAATATATGAACTGAGAGATTGATATTGTGAAAAAATTGCAGGCATAATAAATAATATTTTTTTGCTGTTATAATTTACAATGTTTACTGGGTTTAATGACAATTTGAATAAAGTTGAGAAATATTGAATGTTAAAATGACATACTTTAGTTTTACTTTTTGAGGCATTTCATCTAGCATAATAAATTGTTTTTATGTATTTCAATATATTCATTCTATTACTTGTGTATTGATAAGGTTTTCTAAATTGCAATGTTTTGTGTATATTTTTGAAGTGTAATATTTAGGCTATGTTTAACATTTTGGCTGTGCATGGCAAACATGTTAAGTTTTCAATTGTGATTGTGTCTTTTTTCTAGCCCAATATGTACCGATTAATGCAGCTAAGTCAAACAACAATTCCATTGGCAGCAGATTTTACTCACTTATTCTCTCAGCAACGTAAAATTAACAGAGTTGAGTTAATTACCGATTTTCCAAAAGGAGATGATGCGGAAGTTGTGTCTTCTCTTCAGATTCATCCTCAGGGATGGTGTGCTCTCAGTCGTAACATTAGTAATGATGAAAGTTCAGAGGTGAGTGCAAAGATGAACTATTTATTCTCTACCTTTTCATTTTTTATTTCTGCGTTCCAAACAAAAGCATTTAATTGTATTCTCTAGCAAGTTCTGATCTGCATATTTCTCCAGAATTTAATTTCAATGGTATTAGTATATTTGCAAATTGCCACTCCATGTGTGTTTTCTAGTTGTGGAAGAAATAAATTTTAGGCAATGAAATGGTTATGAAATACTTGTTCAAATCAATGACAGATTCTGAGGGGACATGCCCATGCCTACCCGTCAAAGCCAACTCCCCCTGCTCCCCAAAAATAGTTTCTGAATCCACTCCTGGATTAAAAGTGAAGGTTTTCTATTTGTGGATAGATATTGTGTGAATGGTTACTGATTTGTGGAATGATTTGTTTTTCAAAGAAAACAAAGTTTCGGCCTCTTTGATTAGAGGGAGCTTCTCAGTAGTAAAACGTTCATTGGTCGTTATTGTCACATGAAATTTGTTCAGTTCTAAAATATTTGGCAATATGTAATGTTAATATGTACTGTGAATATTCCTGTTCTTAATTTATTAAAGATGCTAGGATCAGCATTATGATAAAACTTAGCTAATTATTGAGAATGGAAAAAAAACAAAAACAAACAAATCTTTGGGTCTTCTAATATCTTGCTCTTGTGGAGCTTAATATTAACTTTTCTGTAATTAGCTCCTCAGTTAATTTATTTTTGAGAAGACATTTAATTATCAGTTCAGTATTATAGTGGAGAAATGAATTTAGAGCTCTTATGAGGTCTAAGGCAAGTAATGTATGTTGGGAACCATATAAAAGGGGATTAAGAAGTAAATAAGGAGTTTGTTTCCTCTTAGCTTCATGATAGACATAGCTGTGTAATACAGCAATAGCTGTGTAGTATAAGTGTACCTCTTTCTTGGTGCCTTGCAGACATGTCAGCTACATCATAAACAATGATACCCAAGGTGGGAGAACTTGATTGGTATGAGAATTGGTGTTCAGCAGTATGAAAGTTGGTGGAATAATACAAACAAAGGTTTACATTTTTTAGTCAAAATTGAAATTGTTTCATTATGTCTTTTGTGACCAATGTTAGTCTTATTATATTTATTCCTTAGTCCTCAGCAAACTTTATCAGTTCATGCTATCTGATTTAGCATTTGGACCGAGATGGTAATATGATTTATAAACAGAACAAATCTTGTGTCATGAGAAAATGAAGGAGTTTCCCAAAAGATTTTGCGATTTCTTTTGTTCATATTTCCATGATTTTGATTTTATAATTTGTTGTTGAAATTATGAAATTAATTCTGCTTCTGATGGTTCTGAATTCAAAAATTTTAATTACAAATGATTTTGAATTGCAGATTTTTGAACTAATATTTTTGATGTTCGGCTGACATTTGTTTAGTCCCTGAGATCTACAATAATTTTTATTGCTGCTCTTGTCCCAATTATAAAAATTGTGAAGGAAAGGATATATCTTTGAGATAAGAACATGTATGTTGTAGGCTTCCACGGCCAGAGTCATGATCTGGGCTGTCCGGGTGACGCCGCGTCGATGGCTGATGTGCCGACATGTCGGTTGAAACTTTGGCACATCAGCCATCGACGCGGCGTCACCCGGACAGCCCAGATCATAAGAACATGTAGTATGTGTATTGACTATACAATTTTTTCATCTAACTTATAAGTACATGTTACATTTATGTAATGTTGAGTTTTGTTGAGATTGATGTTCATGTAACTGAAGTTACTAAATCTTGCCATCCCATAAAATATTAAATGTTTACTTTTCTTGAACACTCTTTGTGTATGTAGTATTTTCCAAATGGATTCACTAACTATTGAAAGATTTTTGAAATCCTATTTACATTTATACCAAAACATATCTAGATATATGTTGGGTATGGATAATATGGAAAAAAATGTGTTAAAACACATTGTAATTTAGGCAAAGCATATATTACAAGAAAATTTAAGCATCGAAATTGCGTTAAAAAAGTTTTTTGTATTAATTTGATTCATAATTGGTTATAATTACAGATTTACAATATTCACTATAACACTTGCAGTTGCTTGCGTTATAAAATTAAATGACAAACTATATATGACAATTTAAATGAAAATAGATTTTCAATTAGAAATGTTGATGGATTTTGATGTTCATCTAGAATTTAACAAACCAAATTAAATCCTTTTAACTCCCTCTGTTATAATTGAGGTTAGCTTTACTCTTTTTTTTAACCTGTACAAATAAGATCTAATTTATTTTATAGTACTTTAGTTTAGCATAACATCAGTGGTCAAAGCTAGCGTGTAAATCGTTCAGCTAATTTCCTTCAAAATTGATGATAATGACAGGCCATCTGAATTTCATATGGATATTTTGATTTTAAGGGTACTTTCTGTGGAGCCTCAAACACATGTTCAAAATTTTCTCAAAAATTGCACAGTCTTTAAAAATTAAATTTTGTCTTCAAATAGCATAAAGGATGCTTAAAAGAATGGCACATGCCTCATTTTTAATCAAAACCCTACTTTTTTGGAAATTTCAAAAATTTAGAATGGTTCTGGCGACTTCCTACAACTACGATATGAAAAATCGAGATTTTTTCCTTATAGAAATCTGTGCTTTGAAGGTGCCTTGAAATAAGATCACGTACAAATTTTTGACAATAACAGTAGTTTTCTCGTGATTTTGTGTGATATATAGGCAACTAATTTAAAAAAATCTCAAGAAACAACTCAATTTCTTACTTTCTTCACGTATGTATCAAAGGGCGATAAAAATAATGTGCTTGTTCCATTTTTGACGAACTATCTATTTTTGAAAATTGCAAAACCTTAACATTGCGAAATGCAATATTGGAGACAGATTTTTGCCTTAAAATCTGTTCCAAAAAATCAGCACTTTTAAAGGCCATGTACAATTGTTTGAAAAAAACAGAAATATTTGCGTTCTTTCTGTACAAATTGTAGATGGAAAAATCCACTCTCCGATTGTGGTTAATATTGATTTTAGTAATAAAAAGTGTATCCTTCCGTCTGTCTGTCCGTCCAATGTATATGAACAACACAAGGGCCTAAACCATGCGAAGGATTTTTTCCAAATTGAAGAAGCCCCTGTCCATTTGATCTGAGCCAAAGCTCAGCAATTTTGAAAATCATTCCTTAGATTTTGGAAGTAGTTTACATGAAGCCTCGGGAATATTTTCCAAATTTTCTCAAAAGCGACTCCAATTTTAATAGGGAAATATAAAAAAAATATTGTGGTCTCTGCCATTCTGCAGCACCACTAGTTTGCATCATGCATTCTAAAACATCTCGATCAGGTTTTTGTCCCGTTTCCCTGATCCATTGAGCAAATGCTGAGATATGGCCCCTTGTTTTGTTTCTGGACGTAAATGTAGCTTCACTATGCGCATGTTTTGTTGAACTCTCCTTTTGTTTGTAATAGTAAGAGTAGAGGTAAGGGCGAGTTGCTATTTTGTTAGCAATGCAGAAAAATTATACTTGCAATTCGTGTAGCGATAATAAGTTTTCTGTAACTCAGATCTTCAGAACGCAGAACGAAAATGAATATTTTTCAAATATTGCTAATCTTTCAATTTTTTAAATTTATTTTTATTTATGTTAAACTTTATTCATCTCTCAGTTATTTATAGTTAAAATGACGGGAAGGGATTCTGGAACTCAAGAAAACGTGCACAGATAATCTTTTTCCCCCTACGTCACATTCAGTTTTACTGTTTTTTTGACTGAATAAATCTAAATCTAAACAAATATAAAACAACACTATAAGATATATACTACATTATACACTTTATATTACTATAATCACGTATTTTCCACTTGAAGTTAATGCACATTATAAAAAAAAAGAACATTCTCTCAGGAAAATCTCAAAAGTTTTACTTTATAATTTCTACGCATAGAACTAGGCATGCTTAAAAATGAGAACGGCGCAGTTCTCATTTTTGTTGAACTCTCTCAGTCTTGGAAAATTGCAAAAGTTAGAAATAATGCAAACAAATATGTGCTGTTGAAGCCCTATTAGTTATTATAAAAATCTTTATTATTATGGTAATAGGAAGTCCAATTTTTTCTTTAAATTTATGTTAATTATTTAAAGCTCATATACTCATAAATACAGAAGTGTGAACAAATCGCTGCTAACATAAATATTAACGTCGTGATGAATAGAGCAATATGGCGTTTATGTCATCTTATTGAGTGCACACTATCTCTACCAAAAATTCAAAGAATAAATTTTAAGCCATTTTTGAGAAAAATTTGATAATGTCCCAGGGGCGTCGTGTAAAGTACCCCAAAATTTTATAGAATGTTTTTCAAAATCTGAAAGCTTCGACTCGAGGCAGATCCACTGGGGTTTCTTCAATTCGGAAAAACTCTTACGTATGGTTCAGGCGCTAGTGGTTTCCGCAGGCGGTCGGACGTACGTTATGAAGCTACTGATGCGTCGTAATGGCACAGACTTTCCCGCGTTGGTTTTCTATTTCCTTTGGTCTCGGATTGCTTTTCGGACTTGCCACATACTCTTGCCAGCTGCAATCATCACCGCCCAAAGTACATGTTTTTGAAATTTTCTTTATTTTTCGCTTTCCTAATAGTAGAACGAGAATATTTTAAGTATATTAAAGAACAATGAAACTTCGTCCTTAATAGCAATTTTCTTTGGAAAATTTGGAGTCCTTGTTAAGAAAATGGCGTTTAAGCGCTAATATAATTTCGAAATTTGAAGTTCTATTTCACAGAAAACTAATGAGTTTTCGGAAAACTTAACTGGAAGTCATTTGAAGCACTTTACTCACAAATACAATAGTGTTTACAAATTGCTGGAAATGTGCAAATTAACGGCGTGAGAAATCTTTAAAAAAAAGTTTGTATTTGTGTATTAAAAAAAAAAAAACTCCAAAGTCGACTTTACGGCATATTAAAGAGTGCAATTAGCACCATCCGTTCTAAAAGTTTGAAGGAAAAAATTTGAACCGATTTTGAGAAGGTGGCATTTATGCGTTCCTGAAAATGCGAAATTTTGAGCTAGTTTTCACAGAAAACGGTTCAGTTTTCGAGAAACTTCATATGTCATTTAAAGCACATGTACTCATAAATATAATGTGAACAAATCCGCCAGATGGACAGACAGATTGAGGGACGTTTTGCCGTCAATAGATTTTTTGGTATAGAGGACCTACAAAACAGGGATTCTGGTTAAACCACGTGTTAGAGGATTTTCACCCTTGATATCGTAGGCTTCCGCGGCCGGAGTCATGATCTGGGCCTGACTCAGTGCCTTCGACGCGGCGTCACCCCCACAGCCCAGATCACGATTTTCCCACTTAATTTAACACTTGGATTTATACACTTTTTCGTTTTCGGGCCACGCCAATGAATTTTTTCTTCCGAAAATTTGCGGTTATTTCGAGCAGCGTTACATTTCTCTTTACTACGTATATTACTCCGTATATACGTGTGTATACGTGAAAGTAAAAATGAGTAGGATAGCTAGAATAGTAAATCTACCAACATCCTCTTAATATTTTGAAAAGAACTTCAATTTTTTCAGTAAAAAAAATGCCAATGAAATTTCATGCATTTGTATGGTTTTGATGATGCTTTTGACAAAAAAAATGCATTTGTGTGCTACTGCTTAATAGGGAAGGCATTGCAAGGGTGTGTCAAACAAATTTAAGGTAAAGAAATAGTGAATTTTTTGAAATTCTGCTATGGAGGAATCCGCAGGCAAACTTCAGACAACCACAAGTTTTATATTGAATATAACAGAAATGATGTCTAGTAGGCCCGTAAAACCCAGTTTTTGAGTGCCTCTATGAACTAAGAGTAATATTTTATATACTACAAAAAGACATTTATGTATGTGATATTTATTGCCTGTTTGAAGTTTAGCTCATCTCAGTACACTTGTGCTGCAGCACAGAGGACCAGGAACTTACAGAATTTTGAAACTTTGTAAAAATGTATTGATTATTTGATATTCTGTGGACATCAAGCGCACAAGTCTGTCTTTCTCTTCATTAATAAACACATAGGGATAATAATATACTTAAGCTCAATACCAGGCCTGAATTACATTTGTGTTCAGGGTCTGTCTGTTTGAAGTATGTTTCCAGAATGTAGTTAATTCCATTATTAAAACAATGATTTGCTAAGTGTAGAAAGTACCATATAGTAAGTTAAATTTTTAATATTTTTTTGATGTGATTTGTGTGGCGAGTCTATTTTTATGTCAAATTCATTTTTTAGTATTTTAGAATATTTGTCAATGAACCTGAAGTTTTCTTGTTACTGTCCAAAATTTCTCTATATTCTATTATTGAGCAGTATAATGTATTCTGGTGCTGGAAGACAGTACTTCTCTTAAGTTAAAGATTGCACCATAAAGTTCAAGTAGCTATATTCTCATTACAAGAGAAGATTTGTTTTTAAAATTATATGTTTTTTAAATAATCTATTGTTTTTGAAATGTGGTTCTCATTTTGTTCAAGAGTTTAAACATAGTATTTAAAAAAAAAAAGTATTAGTTGTACTTAATATGTACTAAGTTTGAATTCTTATTCTCCAATGTCAAATTATTAAACGAATTTCAAAATGTGTGTTAGGCAAATTTCTTTTTTCAGTGGTGTTGACAGATATATTGTACTCTTGAATGGAAATTAATGAATATCAATATGAACCTAAGAATAAAGTATTATAAGGTTTTATGACAATTAGAAACCATTATTAAGGATAAGTAGAAGGACTGTGTTATTTGTGAAACTGCAAATGGTTTTGTTTGCTTGATCAATATTCCTTCACCATGAATTATATTATAAAATAATAGTAATTTTTTTATTAATGATATTTGAACTCTTCCATTGACTGATTGTAAACAATTACACATTTTTTTATTATAATAAACAAAAGGTTTTTATGATTGTTATTTTGAATTTTATAGTAGCAAATGTGGAAATTTGTAGAAAAGTATTTTCTTTGGTTTAAAAATTAGTGGTACGTTGGTTAGCTTAGTTCATCACTGACATTCTTTCTCATTTATTTAAAAATTATATTTTCTGGTGAGATATAAAAGAAGAGGTTGAACCTTGAAAGCATAATTTTTGTGTATTTAAAATGAAAACTCACTTGCAAAGATTAAGTCCTTGAAAATAAAGGTAAATGTTTCTAAGTCCTTTTGTTATTAATAAAATCTAAAGCTATATTTGAGAAAATCTATTTTTGTTCTGATGAATTAATTACAGGTATTATATATGCATTTTTGTAGGAAGGTTGTTGCTCAAGTTCATTCAATTGCTTCAGTTTCACTTTTCTCAAAGCATTGGCAAATTTTATAAACTGTTGGAAATATTTTCAATTAAATTTAGCCAGTGGAAGCTATTCAGTAAATTTTGTCCAGTTGCCATGGGCAAAAGATGGCCACAGATGGCTGAAGGCCATATGTGAAGTGTCCCCACTAGTTGTGTCACCCTTCATATCCTCTTTTCAACACACCAATACCAATTGTCCAACTTTCATGTCTGCATATTGTGAGGGGAATATGGTCATGGCATTGCAGTAGAGTTTGCTAGGAGAAGAGAGAGGGAATTGCCTAAATTGTCCCCAATATAACAGTTCTTTTTTATACTTTTGTAAAATGAAGACTAACAAAAAAATATTTGATATGTCCAATCATACAAAGAATAAAGGGAAAAATATTACTAGTTTATTTATTTATTTTTTAAATGTGATATTGAGTGTTTTAATTATTAATGCTTACTTAAATATTTTGAATAATTGGTAGTTAAATGAAAATTTATTAATGTGGTAAGATATGAAATGTTTAAAAATTATAAAAAAATGCACCATGATATAAAATCTTTTTGTGTTTGAAAATGTTGACAAATTGAAGAAAATTAAGCTACTTTAAAAAATTCATAAAATTCTACTTTTTACCTCACAAATATATTTATAAAACATTTCATTGTGTGTTGTTGCTAGATGTTATTTTAAATAAACGTTAATGTAGATTGTTCAATTACAATATTCAGAGGTCTGTATTATTTTGCTTTCTGAATGTGAAAGTCGATTATAAAATTTTTAAATGCTTCTAGGATTGTGTGTGATATTTTATTCACAGATATACCAATGTATAATTTTTTCATCTAGATAATTTATCTTGTATGAAAATAATAAGATTTTTTACTGAATTGGATCTTCTTCTCTTGTTTTTTAGTGGACCTGTGTTCATGACATCCAGGAACGTGAATATTCTGCTGGAGAGTCTGATTCTCATAGCGAATCAGAGAATGAACCATATGTGGATTCGTTATCCCAGTCAAGAGAAAGTAGTGTGCAAGATAGTGATAGCGATAGTGAACCTGAAGTTCCTCGACGAAGACGAATTCGCTGTGTTCGTACTGCTACTGGCAATGTTTTATTTGCAGCTCACACACATACCAGAACAACTCGTCCTACCGTAGAAGTGAGAATGGACTCGGCGCCAACGTTATCAAGATCTCGGTCTATGGTCTCCTCAGAGCGCAGTGGTTCTCCTAACACTGGCAGGATGGGACGAACAGGAAGTGCTGATGGAATACCAATTGAAGCGTATCGCAGGGGGGCAGTCGGGGATGTGGGTCGTGTTGCTATTTCTTCAGCTAACGTTGAACTTCATGTATCGTCAGCTGATGTGTGGGAAGCCCTTATGGCTATACGGGAAGCAAGAATTCGTCGAGAACGTGAACGGGAACTTGCTGAGAGAGCAGAGCAGGAAAGAGATCGAGCAGGGAGAGCAGAAAGAGAGAGACCTAGGAATGTCAATGTGAGAATTCGAATGCATTCTAGTAGTTTGGGCAGCACTGAGAGTGAACGAAGAAATTCAGATGAAAGCAGGAGTGCTAACAGCAGCAATAGCAGTAACAACAGTAACAATAACAACAGTTCAAGTGGTTCAGAAGAATGGATGCAAGGTCGTGTTCGAATTTTAGTGAGGAGAAATCCGGACAGTAACGTTCCTTCCAGTGAAGGTTCCAACAGAGCAGATGGCAATTCACATGGTTCTGGTCAAGGGAATTCGGAGAGAGTAAATACTCGCTCTCAACGTATTTCGTCACCTCCGCCTGGAGCAGCAAGTAACAGTACCTCTAATCAGGACCGCATGGAAATGGGATTCATGGGTTTCAATGTTCCTAGTAGTTCATCTTCAGGGACTACTCATTCCGCTCATCATAACTCAACTGACCAGGGGAGTAATACAGGTGGTGCACCTACGGTATTCATTCGATCTCGTAATTCACCTGCTAACACAATTCTTATAGTCGATAATAGAATGCCTAGAACTGCTTCTGCTGCAGTGATTGCTCCCTTAAGTGGAGGTTCAGAACCATCAACAGTTTTTCGTCGTTCTGATTTCTCAGATTTTCCGAAATTGAATCGTCGAATCCATCAGAATATTCCAAGATTAACTCACTACATTGAGGAACCAAATGTGGGTAAAGGGTTTATTAAGGAATTATGTTTTTCTGCTGATGGACGGTTAATTTGTTCTCCTTTTGGTTATGGTGTTAGGCTACTTGCGTTTTCTCCTGAATGTTCTGAACTGTCAATTTGTTGCCCAGACAAAGCACCTGTTCCATTATATGAATTGGCAACAAATGTTTGTCATAGCGATATTGTAGTTAGCACAAAGTTTTCTCCACAGCATTGTTTATTAGTATCTGGGTGTTTAAGTGGAAAGATAGTTTGGCACCAACCTGTTGTGTGATTAATAATATGGGATCTGAAGGTTTTACATGTCTTGGACATGTATGGATTGCATTTGTTTGAAACAGGATAATTTTGAAAGAGAAAAAAAATGAATATTTTTTTAATGTTGATTTGCTGTACTTAATTCAAATAGAAAAGCCTCTGACGTATCTTGTATCTGCTTGTATTTTTTTTATACAGTATTTCAATGAGTCTATATTTTGATTACAAGCTATTATTTCCAGAATCATGTGATTATTGTATTGTTAAGTCAGAAGTTTGTTTTGAATTGAAGTACTTATGATGAGTTTGTCTCCTGCTTATTTTTATTATGAATGTGAACACATTGAATGTGTAGTATGTCTTTTTGAAGAATTGTTGCAATCAGTGTGTATTACCAAATGTGTCCTATTTGTTTCCTTATACTGGTCATATTTTAAACACTTTAGTGTGTAAATCAGAGAGACTTGTTTTGTATCTTGAAATTGTTTTCTTCATTATGTCGGGCCGGTTTCCTTGTGTAAATAGTAGTTGCCCATGTGTGAATTATTACTTAGTATAGCTTTTTATATACAAGAATTTTGCTTGCTATTAAATATTTTTCTTGAAGTGTGCTTTTGTGAAACTATTTTTGGTGGGGAGCCTAAAAAGTGAGATACTTATGCTCAAAGTTTAGTTAATTCTGAAACTTTTATTTTTATCTGCAAGAAGCCTTTCTTCTGTAAGATTGTCAGAGAGAAGGAAATTTAAGGCTTGAAGTGTTATACATCACTTAAATGTTCTTCTATAATCTTTGGGCTGGACAAAACAGACAAATTGTATTTTATTAGATGATAATGAAGTTGGTAACTGTTCCAAAATCTTAATGTATATCTATTCAATTATGATATAAGAATGATCTATGCCATATTCTTGTTTGTATAGCTTACAATATTTCATTGTGATGTTAATAAGACTGTTTCGTTCAACGTTCAACCAGGAAAATGTTTGACTGTTGACATTGGCATCTTTGTTAATGGTAATAAGACTTTGTTACTTGGTAACATGGTAAGTACAAGAGGAAACCTTTTTCATTATTAATGTTGAATAGGTGCATAGACTAGCAATGATATGAGAGGACAAATGGTATGAATGTGTTATTCACTTGTGTATATTTATTGAGTGGTATAGGCTTGTAAATGTGTGGTAATGCCAATGAATATGTAGACTTCTCAAAAGTCCATAAATTAAAATAAAAAAAGCTATGATGTAAGGCTGCTTTTTCTTCTTTTTTCTATTGTGTATTTACATTTTAGGGTCAGGATGAGTTTAATGATTCACTTGCAAATTTCAGTTTGAAATTCATTCACCTATGATGGATTTTTGGGTTGAACACTGCATGTAACAAGCAAATGCAGCAAGTGTTCTTGTTTCGCAAGTTTCACATTTTTCCTCAATATCCTGTTTTTCCACATTTCACTTTACCCAATACATGTAGCATAATAGCAAAATAGTATTTTTGATAATTCCAAGTGCAAGAAAATAGCATCTTTGCATTGTTAACTGTTTCACAAATCAGTTGTTTCATGTACATCAATCATATTTGATATGAATTTTTGTTTTTTCTTCAAACATTGTGTTATATTTTTTTCATAGTTGTAATTTGTACTTTGCACTACTTATATTCCTTTGTAAAATATTGGCAGGGGACAACGACTACTCCATTATCAACGGCCACATCAAATTATAAATGAAAGCAAAACTAATCAAATTTTAATGATTGAAAATCAACCCTGCAGAATTTGAGGAAATGAAAATCATAAACATACTTATGAAGCTGCAGTGCAAATTATTTTTCTACAGTGTGTTCAGGTGAGACATTTCATATTTCAGTTAGTGGTGCTACAATATTGCACAGACTTTCTTGTGTGGTTCCCAATAATTACACAATCATTAATATTGTTAATATTTTATCCATCTCTTGCTAAACTTTTCACCAAATTGCTTTAATGGCAATGCATTGAGTCCATATCTGAACATTTTCTGAGACTTAGTCATAAAGAAAGTTGATATTTCTGTTAAATATACAAGCTACAAGTCTGTTTTTATTATTCCTGACATTTGACAAACTATGTGGCCACAGCATTGATACTCAATTGCCCTCAATCGATACTCAAGTAGCTTACTTCATCCCCCTCACCACATCACCACTCACGTTCTCGTCATCACCAACTTTGACGCTAAATATAGCAGAGCATGAAATGTTCTCTAAATTTTAATTAACATGCTGGTTTATTATTAATTTTCATTGCTATTTCAAATAGTGTGCATGATCAAAAGACAACCTTTTCCATAATCTCTTAATTTTTTGGACACCTAATATTTAATTCAGTGAGACAAATACAACATTCTAATGTTTCCCTCTCATTTCCTTATAGGTACTGTTGCAATAGAAGGTAAAAGGCATTTCCTATATTTTATATAATTCTTTGCTTAAAAATGCATTTTATTTCATGCTATGCATGAAAAGAAGGCAAAAAATGTAAATTGTGTGAAGCTCACTCCATAAAGTAAATGCATTTGGTTTGAAAACAAGCTAAGGTGATGAACACAAACCAGTTATTTTTGAAGTATATTTACTCAAAATTGATACTTTTCATTTAGTTGAAATTTTTTACAAAGATCTGTTTCCAGTTAACAATCCTTAAACCAGTGAACAAGACTTTTTTTTATATATGAAAAGTCCTAAAAAATCTGATATTTAAAAAAGGGCATGTTAAAAAATGTATTAATTTTCGTGAAATTTCTGCCTAAAATAAATGCATATTATGAGAATCATCTATTGCTCAATAACCGCACCAATTTTTTTCTTTAAAATTTCCTTACGGATAGAAAACAAGGGTGCTTAAACGAATGGCGCGGGTTTCGTTTTCGTTGAACAGAATTTTCGAAAATGGCAAAAGTTAGAAATAATGCGAGAAAGTACGTGCTCTTGCAACTCCACATGTGATTTTCTTGCAAACTACGTGCGTATTCTAGAAAAGGTATTGTAATGCCGCAGCAAAAACGGCGAAATTTTCGACAACTCGTTTTGTGGAAAAATTGAAAAATTCTTGTTCAGGGATGTAATAAAGAACATGTAGTCAGAGTCTAACTTTTGGCGAGTCCTTGACACCGAAAAATTGGTTTACAGTAAAACCTCTATCCGCCTGTTTGTGAGCAATGTTCTGTTACCAGAGTAGTATTCTGCCCGAAACCGATGTTCCTCAACCGATCTGGCTGATGTGCCTTGAATTTAAAGGGATATTTCGATTCTTGGAGTACTTGAAAGTAAAAAGAGTACCTTAATAAATCAACAAAAAACGCACTGAAAATGTCTAGCTTTTTTATGTATTATTTCTCTGTTCTGCTCAGACATTGTAAAGACAGTATGTTCCGATTTAAACCCAGTGGCACTTCAACATCAAGCGTTGAACAGAGAGGGAGACACTGACATCAAATTAGAATTTCGTTACGATTAAGTCTCTTGGTTCCCCTAAGGAAGGACTGAGACACCGGTAGTTCCATAATCGATTATTTATATTGTTCCAGTATTTTTATACCGAGACAAAACACTTTTCGTATGACATGTCAATGCATTTTCTGCGAGGAATCTCGTGTGTCTAGCCATAGGCAACCCTCAAAGCAGTAAAGTTTAACGGGTCATCTACTGTCTTCAATGGCAGCACACACGAATATGACACGTATGTTCTTGTCTCAGCCCGTGCGATAACATCGCACCTCTCTTCTCTCTCTCTTCTCTCTCTCTTCTCTCTCTTCTCTCTCTCTTCTCTCTCTCTTCTCTCTCTCTTCTCTCTCTTCTCTCTCTTCTCTCTCTCTTCTCTTTTCTCTCTCTCTTCTCTCTCTTTTCTCTCTCTCTTCTCTCTCTTTTCTCTCTCTCTCTTTTTTCTCGCTCTCTTTCTTTTCTCTCTCTCTTTTCTCTCTCTCTTTTTTCTCTCTCTTCTTCTCTCTCTGTCTCTTCTTCTCTCTCTGTCTCTTCTTCTCTCTCTGTCTCTTCTTCTTCTCTCTCTGTCTCTTCTTCTTCTCTCTCTCTTCTTCTTCTCTCTCTTCTTCTTCTCTCTCTCTTCTTCTCTCTCTCTCTTCTTCTCTCTCTCTCTTCTTCTCTCTTCTCTCTCTTCTCTCTCTCTTTTCTCTCTCTGTCTCTTCTTCTCTCTGTCTCTTCTTCTCTCTGTCTCTTCTTCTCTCTGTCTCTTCTTCTCTCTCTCTCTTCTTCTCTCTCTCTTCTTCTCTCTCTCTCTCTCTCTCTCTTCTTCTCTCTCTGCGCAAACATGTGCGTTAGTTATCGCACTAAGGTACTGTCAGTGCTACTAACTTTCAGTTATTAGGGTATGATTTTAATAGTATATCGAGTATAAAGAACAGTTATTAAGTGCACATAACTTGAACTCAATTGCTATTAGAAACCCCGGAGCACGGCTAGAAATACAGGATGTACCTTCTGTTGGTGTCAAATACTTCGGGGCGCAATCCCAGCATCAAAACAATAAAATCAAGTGCATATCAACATGAAAGTATTTTGTTACGGAGTCATTAAAGGATTCGCCCCTTCGTTGTCACTAATAATTAACAGAATTAAAATGTTGATGATCGTTTTGTTTGTTTCATTGTTGAATAAAGAAGGCAAACGAAAATGTATTCTGTCAGTGAACAGTCTGATATGCACTACATTTATGGCCTTGCAGGTAGAAATGCATCAGAAGAATGTGGGATTTTTGCAGAAAAGTATCCCGAAAGGCAGTTACTTTGTTCACGAACATACGCCAATGTTATATTATTATTATTATTATTATTATTATTATTATTATTATTATTATTATTATATTATTATTATTATTAGAGGGTGATGAGGGGTGAAAGGACTAGGATGATGATAGGTTTTAGGTGGGGTAGTGAGGGGTGTACGTGGGATGTTTGAACCATCTCAGCATTCGCATTGTGACTGAGAGAAATCACGAAGACTATTTTTAATAAAGAATGTACATCGATTGCGGGACGTTACTGCACGAAAACAGGCCCTTCAACAACAAAAGAATACTAATTGCATGTTATACGTTTTGTGTAAAAGACGATACAGAATGAGGATATGTGAATACAATTAGGGTCAGGTGGTAGGCCATTAAATACAAAACAAACGATAAAGTTTTTAACATTTGTATTTACAGTATTGGAGTATTCACATACAAAACCGGTGACGTTTATACAATATAAAAAACTGTACAATTCACAATGTGACACAATGTAATGAGAATTATTAATTTATCTTTAATATTTGAAATTAATAAATAATTGGCAGAGTAAAAAAACATTTTGAAGTAAATTTTCATGCAAATACATATTCATCGGAGTTTTGGAATACTCCAATAATACACTTGCCTCTTTCATCACTACATTGCCTACATAGCACTAAAGTGAAATTCTCAACACGAAGACGACTCCTTCAAACTGTCATGACTTACAACGAGGAGGATAGAATCGTACCAAACACATATCCATTATGTAGTTTTTTGTATTCTAGAGAATAGTCTGAATGGTATATTGTTTAGTTTATAAATTATAATGTAAAATATGAATTAAAATAAATATATCTGCGGGAAGAAACATTGTATGTTTTATGGTATTACTCAAAATCTATACTTGGTTATTCTTCATCATACAGTTTTTAGGAGAAAACACGTGTTGAAAAGGCTTCAATGCAACTTTTGTACTTGAGCAATGAAACTGTACCCATGATTGAATAGATATCACTTCCTTCAACATGAATCCCGAGTACATGAATGTATTAGTTATTGGCGGAATGTTTCCAGTCTTTCACATTGCGAAATTCATTTTCATCAAGTCTTCATTAGGAGTGATCTCTACCATCTCTGGCTTTCGGAACGTAGATGTCGGTGTAGTTGCCAGTGCACCACAGCAGCGTCGGCCTCAGAAGAATGAGACCTGAGGATACGGGTATTATTCAGTATTAATAGAATAATTCTTTAATATGTACGTAAGGAATCTCTTCCAGGAAATATTACTGAGGCGAGTAGCACTTCTGGTTTTAGCTTTTCAATTTCCCTTTTGCGCCGCCAGGGGGCTTTATAAAGCATTCCTGGCCCACTGAAGGAGCAGCGGGGGGAGGCAGAGGGGGAGGAGGAGGAGCGCGCGCGCTGAGTGGGCGACGTTCGTTTGTTTGGCCTGGCCCGCCCCCGCCTGCCCGTGGTCGTGCATGTGAGCGTGGTCGTGGGCTGCGTGGTCATGAGCTCTGTGCTCGTGCTGGCTGTGGTCCTCCTCGTCCCCGGTGCCCGTGTGGCCCGGTTCGTGATGCGCGAGCGCCTCCCGTTTCAGCCTCGTCTTTTCCATCTCGACGGTGGCGTCGTCGAGTTGTCGGGTTGTAGTGGCATCGTCCTGGCTGATGGCCTGCGTGGAGTACCACTTGTCAGAAGCGGTGGTCTCCTCCGTGTCTTCTTGAGACACGTCGCCTGCAGGGAGGGAGGCTTTCTTGACGAATTGCTTGTCCCTCGCGCCGTTGCTCTTCTGCTTGGAGTCGTAGGCGGAGTACAGCTCTTTAATCTCCGAGCCGGCCGGGGAGAGCGCTTCGTCTGCGAGGGCGAGGCGAGTGTTGGGCGCGTGCGGCTGCGCGCGTTGGTTGAACTGCACGGGCAGCACCTGGGCCTGCTGCTTGTTCCGCGCCTGCAGCTGAGGGATGCTCTCGGGGTGCACCACCTTGGGGACGGGCGGGGGCACCTCTCCGTGGTAGGGCCCGAACTGCGGCGTGCCTTTGATGAGCTCTGCCGTGCCCGGCGGGTTGCGTCGGCCGGCGTCGGTGCTGGCGGACGGGTCGGCGATGGACGACGCCAGGCTGACGTCCACGACGGATTTGCCGTCGTAGGCGACGACGGCGCCTGGCGGGATGTCGGCGGCGGCGCCGGGCCGCTCCTTGGCGTAGCCGACGGGCGGCAGGTAGTAGGTGTCCATGCGCTCGGCGGCCATGGCCATCTCCCCGGCCGCGTCGGCGGCGGCGGCCGGCTGCTGCGAGCGGAAGGAGGGCGCGAGGCGCGGCGGGGCGGCGGCTGGGCGCGGGCGCGGGCGCGCGCTCTGCTTCTGCGCCGGCGCCGCCGCCGCGCGCTTCGCGTCGCTCGCGTTCTGCTGGCTGATGCGGTCCGGAGGCGAAGGAATGAACATCGGCTCGAACGTCTCCGGCCGCTGCCCTTCGAACGGATTCTCCTTGCGGTCTTCCTTCGCTTCAGGAGCCTCCACGAGCTCGCCCAGCATTTCTTTCTCGAGCTTTTCCATGATTTCGTCCTGGTCGACGAGTTCTGTGTCCGTTTCCACAGACGACCTGTCTTGGGCGACGTTTTTGATGATGGGCTTGAAACCTCCTTCCACGACCACCGTCTCGGGACGGAAACCTGTGTTTACCGCGATAGGTAAGTTGGCACTAATGCTTTCCGTACTTGTGCTAAGCAGAGGAGCGGGGGAGAGAGGAGTCGTTTTCGACACAGACTCTACCTTCTTGGCTTCGTTGGTGTTCTTGGTGTCTGGTTTTGGCGTGGGGGAGTTGGAGGTGCTGCCGATAGCTTGCAGCTTGTCGTACTTGATTCTCTGAGGAGGGAGAGAGTATTGAACGTTCTTGTAAGAAGAGGAGTACTGGAGCGGGCGGGCGGCCAGGGTAGTCATAGGGCGATGGAAGGGCGGAGGACTGACCATCGTACGGTGAGGCACGCCCATCATAGTGACGCGGTAGAAAGGTTTCTTGGAAGTCATGAGGTAGTTGGGAGGCAAGGGCGTGGAGATGGAGTACGTGGGGCGAACCATGGAGGCCGCGGGGCGGTGCAGGGGAACGTAGCCTCTGTGGGGCACAGGGCGTCTGTAGGGGCCGACGTTGTACCCCTGCGGGCGGTGCAGCATCATGGTGTGGGTGGCCATGGAGGCGGGCCTGCCGTTGGGGAGGATGTACCCGTGCGGCGTGAGCCCGTGGGGGCGGTGGGCCAACGGTCTTTTGTAGATGTACGTGGGCGAGTTGATCAGAGTGGGCGACGCCTCCGAAGTGGCTTTGTACCCGTCGAAGTCGTTGTTATCCAGGAGGGTGTGGTCGTGGTCGGTGGACTGCGCGGGTTTGGCCGTGGACGCCAGAAGCTTGACGTCGGTGGTCTTGCTGGCGTTGCTGGGCAGGATGGAGTGCGGCGTGGCGGGGCGGGTGGCGGTTTCGTGCGCGGTGCCGGGGTTCACGAAGTCGAGCGGCGACGGCCTGAGGGGCTGCTCGGTGGCGGTGTCGGTGGGCGCGGGGCCCGGCTGCACGGTGTACGCCGACTCCTCCTGGCTGCTGAGCGGGATGTACTGCTGCGCGGGAGGGGAGTAGGCGGCCGGCGGCAGGTACACCTCGCCCAGGTTGAGCTTGTCCACGGCGTTGGCGCCGCCGTCGGGTTTGTCGCCCGCGAACGCGCCGCCGTCGGGCTTGACGCGCGTGGTGACGCGGATGCTGGGGCGCGACTGCAGCTCGCCCTCTTGGTCGTCGGACGCGTCGTCGGAGGACGGCACGCGCGTCGTCACCGTCTCGCTGGCGGCCGCCGAGTCGCAGCTGTCGTACACGTTGATCCTCCAGCCCAGGTAGCGATGCGTGTAGCACTGTTTGGGGAAGACGCGCGCGATGCTCTGTTAGTGGGCGTTCGAAGGAGCGCAATGAAAGTTGTGCTATGTTTCCCCATTCGATTAATCTGACACATTTCTTTATACTAGCAATACATTGCCTTTGAAAATATTATAGGTATGTACTTCTTTAATTTGAATTATCTTTTTCCATTTGATGTATTACATTTTCTCGTTCATGGGATTTTAAATATTCTCAATACACTAGGATTCTTTGGCGGGACAGAATTTTTGTTCGTCTGACGACGAATTTCGAGTTAAGTGAGTTGGTGCTATCTGTATCATGAAATGCTTCGGCCATGAGGAAAGTCGCATCCCCCGGCGGCGTGTCTCACCTGGTAGTAGACGGTGTCGGGCGTGTTGTGGTCGGGCGTCCACTGCACCACGCCGGCCTCGCCCTGGTCGCACTCGAGCGACAGCGTGCGCTGGTAGGCGCCGAACGAGGCAAACTCGTCGGCCGGCGGCTGCGTCTGGTCGGGCGTCCAGTTGCACAGGCGGCCCGTGCCGGTCGGGTACGCCTCTCCGCGCCGGTTCACGCGCACGCCGGCGAACACGCGCACTTGCTGCGAACACACACGCGCGCACGCACGCTCGGACTTGCTCCGCCGCAACGCGCCCGCTCGCTCGCTGCGTGCGACGGTACTTCGCTCTAATTGGAATCTTCCGCATTGTCTGCCCTCTGCATGTGGACTTATCACTCCGAATTCAAGCTTTTGCAAGGCAAATTCCAGTTTTTGCACATGAAATGAGGTATTTTGCCAGTCAAATATAACCGTTTGGTGTCTGAAATGCAAGTTCGTTAACTTACAAAATTTGTGTATACGTAGTCTATGTCGCAAAGTATTTGTCACTTACATTATTATTATTATTATTATTATTATTATTATTATTAGTTAATGATATACATTATCAAATCAGTGTTTGCTGGGTTTATATCTTTTGTAGTTCATAAATTGTCCAACGATAAATTTAATTTCAACAATCCAATTAACTTCTGGCATTTGATCAGCTGGACGTGGTGATCCAATCGGAAGCTTCGTTACGACTTAATTTTGATATTGAAGTGTCCGATTGGATAACCGCGCCCCAGCTCATCGAACGTCAAACGTCATTGTAATTAAATAGGAAAATAGTGGAAAAGGTAGCGCGCTACCTACGTTACGGCCTCCTTACATATTAACCCTGAAATTGCTCATTTTAATCAAGTACGAATGCTCTTTTAGATTGTGAATCCGGGACTTGAAACAAAATTAAATATGAGAAGTTTCATTTTGTTTCAAATTCTCTTTACATAATAAGAAACTTGGCTACAAAAGGAAAAAGAATAAACCATCGACGCTGAGCCGAATGGATGTAATTTTATAAAAAATTTCGTTTATGGCGGTGGTGGATCGAATTTCAAGTAATGATTTCTTAGGAATATTGATTACTTGCGAACATACTGCTTTCAACACGTCTACCTCTCGTAATTCAACGTAACTGAAGAAATATATTTTATATAACTTTCTGAAACTACTATTTTAAATAGTAAATTCTCTCACATTCTCGTGATCAACATGTCTACATCGGTTCTCTTTAGATAAATAATACTCTCTTTAGACAAATATTGCCCACAATTCTCTCTTCAGTCAAATAATATTCAATTTTCAAACTCCCTTACGTGTGCCTAAAAGTTTCTGGAATATTGGGATTTTTGAGTGAATTAGAGACGCAGAATTTTTGCACGCAATATAAATATTCAGAAAACTACCTATCTAAGATCTTCCTATTCAAATTTTCAGTAACAAGAAATTTTCAGTAACAAGATATTTACATTACGTTTTTCCCTTAACAAAGTTTGGAGATAAGAAGTAATTCAGCACAATAAGCGGAACAACCATTGGGCACATTAAGCACAACACAGCGTACAGCGATCGACAGCAACTTCGATCTTCTGCACACGTGCAATTCGAGTTGCACATTACTTTAGAGCACCTGCACATGCATAGAAAATCGAAATTACTATCTGTGCGTTAAGTCCCTATCAAAGGTTTCAAAATATCTCGAATCGAATGATGTATCGATAGTCTCGAATGGTTGCACAGCGCCACTGTTCAGTGTGTGCGCGCGTCTCGTCCGGTGTGGTTTGGTTTCGGGAGCGGCCGGGAGCAATGGCTAACGAAGTCGTTATGAAGTCGGCGAAAGGAGATACAAACAGAGGTATTTGTAATGAATATTGTTATGATAAATTTCAATAGCATTAAATATGAAACAACATTTTGAAGTATTTTGTAGCTTTCAAAGGTTATATCTTCTCTCCTTGCACCCACATTGATAAGTGTTTCTTTTGAACGTTCAAACGGTCAAACTTGTTCTGTTGGCGAAGTTAAGGATATTTTGAATTCTGAAAATGGAAAATAGGCATCTTCTTTTAAAATTTTCAGCTCAAAAGTTGATAAATTACAGAAAGAGGGAACGTTGCGCGAAGGATTTGGTGGGGCAAGTTCTCTAAACTATCAAGTAAATATTCACCTTTGTAAAATTAAAAAAAACAAAAAAAAAAAAAACAGACCTATACCATTGTAATATTCAGAAAACACCTGTTTCATATTGCAAAATTGTATGCCTCATAGAGGCTGCGTTGGTCATACAGTAATTAAAAATACAAATATTACGCAGTAACGGTTTTCAAGAACTCGCGCACTGGGCTTCCGCGCCATTTTGTGTGACCTCGAACGCGGCGCAGACGCCTTTTGCGGTGATGACAGAAAAACCTTTTTATCGTTAACGTTACTCCATTTTACTAATTTGAGAAGTATGAACGTTTGTGCTGGAGAAAATCGCATGTACCAGGTCGCTTTTTTTTGTGAGAAAAGTCACCAAATTTATTAAAATCTTAAAATCAAATCATAATTTCCCATACGAATCGTATACTGATTTAAAGTTTTTGAAACAAAAGTCGGTTTTATTTTGAAACTATTCGGCTTCTCTGGTGAGATTCGGCCAGTACCCGTGCGTAACGATAAGATGTTTCGAATTTTAGAGAGAGTAATTGTTTCACCACAAGATAATGTACGTAGTTCTATGCTATTGTCGCGCTGTTTGAAAGTATCTTCATCTGTACTAGGAGTCCCACCATTAATGGGCCATCCCCATAACGTCTAAATGGTTCTCGATTTAGAAATGCAGTTGTCGCTCGACAATGCGGAATCATGGGACTAGTAATATGCTGTAGAGATATTGTTTGAAATATTTTTAATTTTAGAAAAATTTAGTAATCTTCGATTTTTTAAACGCAACTGTATATTTTTCTCAGTTGTAATAGATGTATCATAAAAAGAGGAATACAAGGATGTATCATTGTTAATATTTTGATAGTTATTTGGTTGTAAAATTATACTTTTGACGTGTGATTTTAAATCAAACGTATAGTATTTCCTGCTAGCCTAGCTGCTCTTGGCTCTTGCAACTGACGCCTTTGGAGAAAATGGCCTTCGCGGCGCCGGCACCGCTGAGGGGAGAGATCGCGAAGGACACATTCCCCAAAGGTTTCAGTTGAAAGGCCCGCTTTCGGAAATGCACTTTTAATTCAAAATCACGCGTCAGAAAGTATAATTTTACACTCAAATAACTAACAAAATATTAACATATATTACATCAATGCATTCCTCTTTTTATAATCTATCAATTGCTGGCGACAAAAATATATAATTCCATTACAAAAATTAAAGCTTATTAAATTTTTCGAAAACTGAAAATAATTCAAACAATATCTAAACAGCATATTATTTGCCCCATGATTCCGCATTGTCGGGCGAAAACAGTATTTCGATATTATAAGCCGTATAACTGGTAGCAAGATGGTATATTTTTCTAACACGAAGACAGTTTTATGTAGGTAATTCACCGTAGAACAAAAAATAACTATCACGTCATGTCAAGGCAAGTGTAATTGTGTCATTAGTCACAATTGCTCAAATACTCTCGACGCGGTGGTTGTGTGAGCACTTTTTGCTTCTGTTGTCTTGACATTTTTTCCCCTACTCTTTTACCCTCCAGTATTTAAAAATATACTTAGCATAAACAGAGGTACTCTTAAAGAAACACGCATCGAGATCTTGCTTCGGCAAAACCATTTCGAGTATTTTCAAGCTGATTCGTTTAATGAAACCTTAAAATTCAGTGACATAGTAGATCATAAATGATGATTGTACTCATAAGGGGAGTATTAGTGCAAAGTGCAAACGATTCTACATGAAAGTTAAAATAACGCAATTTTCAATTATTAACATCTGTACCGGCAGTAAGACAGTAAGTTCATATAGTGGAACCAAACTTAAAAAAAAACATCAAAATTGTATGTAGCTTCGAAGTAACATGCATTGAACCACTTTGAATGTTTAGAAGACTCGAAAAGTTCAGCAATTCAAATATAACATTGACGAAATTAGGACAGTAAAACATGATTGTTTTCTTGTTGAATGGGTCGTTGTTATTCTCAAGTATTCGGATAGCAGTGCCCTTATGTAAGATAATTTCCAAAAATAAAAGAATTGAATGAATTATAAGTGAAATTTTCAGTCCAATTCAGCGCAGTCCCCATTTGCAGCGGTGGGAGCAAATGGAGTGGCAGCTTACGTTTCTCTCCTCGGGCGTCTTGTACTGGTAGCCGCCGACGGGGTCGTCGGTGATGTAGAACGGGTGGTAGCGGGCGGGCGTGTCAGGGTCGTTGCCGCCTTCCACGACGAAAGTGTACGTCTTCCCGCGCACCACGTTGATTTCTGGGATGAGCAGGCCGTTGATGTACCAGGAGATGCCCCAGCCAACGTGTCCTGCACAGTTAAGGCAACGGTTACCTCCACACTGGAGCTGGGATATATTAGTGGCAGGATATATTCGTCCAGCTCACAAATTCATCAAACTGTGAAAACAGGATTTTCATGTTTGATTTACTTTAAGGTGGATTAACGTGTAAAGTGAAAATTCTAATTAACTATTCCCCTTCCCCAAAAATCCCTCCCCCCAAATTGTAATTAACTCTGTAAAAAAAACTAAATTTACGGTTTTCTGAAATTATTCAATGACCTGCGAAAGATATAACTGAAGCCAACATTTGTAAAAGAGCTTTTGACTTCTTAACTAATGTATTTCCGGCATTTCGCAAAAACGCGGCTGATCAAACGCATACATTATTATTCCAAAAAGAATGTCTCTTGCTAAAGATCTGCAAATGAAATGTTCTTTTATAACACTGCTATAAATTAAGTATATTAACAAAAACGGTTTTCATGAAGATTCCAATAACAGTGTAGTATTTACACAGTGCAACGGTTCTTTATATTACAAAAATATGCAGGGAGTCTCACTATGGGCCAACCCCTCACTTCTAACGGGTTCGGATATCGAAATGGTTTTCACTGAACAATGTGGAATCATGGGGCAAGGAATGTGCCGCAGAGATATTGTTCGAAATATTTTTAGTTTCCGAGAAATTTATTCATCTTTAATTTTTTGTAAATAGTAACTTGTATTTATCTTATTAGCAATAGATAGATCGTAAATAGACGAATGCAATGATGTAACATATGTTAATGTTTTTGATAATTTTGAGTATAAAACTATACTTTCCGTCATACGATTTTAAATTAAAACTACAAAATTTCCTGTCGCAACCCTTTCAACTGTCTCCTTTTGCGAAGGTTACCTACGCGGCGCCGGCAGTTCGACGGGGAGAGGGGGAGAGGCCGACAAGGTCACGTTTGCCAAAAGCGACAGTTGCAACGGTAGCTACAGAAAAAAACGTTCAATTTAAAATCTCCGGTCAGAAAGTATAATTTTATGCACAAAATACTAACAAAATATTAACAATGTTACATCATTGCATTCCACGATTTATGATCTATCAATTGATAGCGAGAAAAATATATGGTTGATTTTTTTTAAAATAAAAGATGATTAAATTTATTTCAAAACAAAAAATATTTCACTATATCATTTGCCGCATAATTCCACATTGTTGAACGAAAAGTATAAGTCGATATTGGGAACCGTTTAGAAGTGGTGAGGGAGGCCCGTAGTTGGTAGGACTGCATTTTTAAAAAAAAACTGCGGTTCCATAAATGAAGGGGTGGGCTCGTCTTTGGAACTGCACTGTTGCATGGCGTTAGCTGTGCCTAAAGCGGTGATGCACTGTCTGACAATTCAGACGGTGCACGCAGTATTAGAATAGGCGGAATAAGAACCAAATTATTGCATCATTTAGTAAAATTCTAAACTATAGAACTATTTTTGGATTTACCATTGACACCTCTTACACGGCCACATACTGCATAGTTTTCTCTCAATTTCTGCGCGGATTCGAAGTAAGCAATTCAAATGATTAGTTTTAATGTGTCAGCCCAACAGCCGATCAGTTTTTGCTGTTTGCGAACGCTACTATATTTCGAGTAGGCTCGAAGCGTCGCAATGCATGCACGAACGTAATTGCGAATTCTTGCGCGTATACAGAACGAGCAATCAAATGATTACTTTTAATAGACGAGATCGCTAAGGTAGAAGTGTCGCAGCGATCTCGGATCCCGCCTCAGACATGGATGTATTTGAGATCGTCCTTTCACCCTTCACCGTCCTATCATTTCATTAAAGAAGGATTAACAATTCTCTGCGCGAGCAAGAGACCCTCGTCCTTAATGGTATTTGGCGGTCGATAGCACCAAAAGCTGCTCGGCTATTTATGCAATCAATTTCAAATGGACTGAAGCACGCTTTGCATGGGGATTGCTTTGGCACCTGTGATGGCGGAGTAGCCGCGCTTGCCGCCCGTGGGGCCCATCTGCGCGTAGAAGACGCCGTCCTCGGGCTCGTAGCACTGGATGGCCGGGATGTCCCAGGCGCCGGCGGCCGGCGCGGGTGCGGGCGCGGGGGTGGCCGGCGCCGGTTGGCGGCTCGAGCTGCTCGGCCGACGCGCGCTCACCTGCGCGCACCACAAAAACGTCCCTTCGAGAATATGCAAGTGGACTATTTAATAGTACAAAAACAGTTATGCTTGTATTGAGTTGTGTTGTGAAGTTAAGTGGAAAATATAAAGGTAAAAAGTCACGCGATTAAATTTAAGAATAATGTGGCCTATGGTAGGAGTAAGTACAAATTCAAGGTCCAGAATCACATGAAGAAGTAACTAAAATTTCGCTCTCGGAAACTCTAAGGAAATGGATAAAAGCCATGATGGTAATGTATCAATTATATTATTGGGCGTGTCGGTGCTCTAATATGCTACCCATAATATTTCATTTGATTTACTGAAAGTAAGTTCAAAATGATTTCGAAGTTTTTGCATTTTGAGGTTTGTCGCTTTATTTTGAATACATTTTCACCAATGTTTTCTGATGACGTATCTAGATTGAAATAGTAATTATTGAATTGTAGTTAAAAGTAACTAAAAATTCATAAATAATAATGAACAAAGCTCTCCTTGAAGCGAAGTATTGTGATTTGCTTAGAATCATGCGCGAAGAATCTCTATAATTTGTAAAGTCAGTAATTCTGAACACACTCATTTATTTATTTATTTATTTATTTATTTATTTGAAATCCTTTTAAAATAGGCGTGTTAATGAGTAAGGCTGCGTTTCCGAGGTAAGCGCCGATCACTATATTCATATAGGCATGGAGTTAACCTTAGAATTGGCTCAATTTAGAATCTGCCCCAATTTTAGTATTCTATGAAAGAACAAAGTTCTGTATCGCTACGGTCAGACAAATTATATATTTTTTCATAAATAAGGGTTGAATTCTCTGCGACTGTGGACAATTACGTTTTATCAAAGTGATACCGGATGTACAGTTAAACAATTTGTATATTTTTTTAAAGGTAAGATCTATAAACAGAACCCAGTGAGTCACATCTCTAACTATCCATTTTGCTGGATTTCAAATTTTCCCTTTATATTTATTGCTCGTAATGTGTTTTTGAAAAACATTTTCTGTCTGGGATTGTTATAATTACTAGTATTTTTTCTTTCTACCAAAAATTCTCAGTGCAGCTTAAAGCACAGAAGAGGTGTCTCATTCGACTTCGTTTCAAAACCTTTTTTTGCGCAGTCAGGGCCGAAGTCGATAGTTGTTTGCGCGCAACGCGCTGCGTCTGCTCACCCTTTCGTCGGAGGCCGTGGTGGCGGCGCTGGTGGCGGCGTCGGCGGTGGCGGCGGAGGGGCGGCGGCTGCGGGTGGAGGCGGAGGCCGGGGCCGAGCTGGGCGCGGAGGTGGGGGTGATGACGTCGCTAGCGCTCGTGGCGGTGCCTCCTTCGGAGTCGGGGATGGGGCAGTTCCACTTGGGCGAGCGGGCGAAGTCGATGAACACATCATCTGTGGAACACGACATTGCGTGATTGGGAATACTCTTTTAATTATACCCACAGAATAAGTCAGCAAAGACGTAAATATTTAGGAGCGCGAAATATTCGAAGATGATTATACAGTCAGTGGTATTCACTGTATAAAGCAAATGTATACAAAGGAAATTACATAAAAGTATATGCGTGAAATGTGACTATTTTTATTCGAATAAACGGTTTATCATCGATAATACCACGAACGCTTTGGAAATTGTCGATAAATTCCCGACTTTCGAAGCGAGGAGGGGATTTATCTGATTACTTCCAGAGCACGATAGGACTATTCGAGAAATGAAATTACGTCCAACGATTCCAAAATGCACCAAGTATTGAAAATAACTGAAAGCGTATGTTAAAACCAAAGGGGATGTTGTAGTGCATACTATGTTTATTGGACTTCGTCAAAGCGATCGATGTATACGCCTGCTAAGATAGAAGAGTCACAGTTTATGATTGGCGAGTTGGTAGAAGCGGTAAGAAAAATCGGATAGAAAAAGCGATAAACGTTGTGAGATACACCGCCCTGATTGGGGCATTTAGTTGAACACTATTGGCTTTAATTTCAATAGAGGAATAGTCATAGAATGAATCGCAACGTGAGACAGGGAGGCGGAGGCGGAGGCGGAGGCACTCACGTCTGTTGGCGACGCGGTGGTAGGAGACCTCGTTGCGCGAGTTGAGCGGGCCCAGCGCCCAGATGACGGCCTGGCTGCCGTTGGTCACGATGGCGTGGTCCAGCTCGTCCTTGGCGTGCAGCGGCCGCTGGTACGTGACGATGGAGTAGCCGTTGACCATGGCGGCGTTCAGCAGGCGGATGCTGTTGGTGTTCTCCTGCGCATGCGCACAGGGGTGCGCTCTTTCACTCTGTGTTTCTCAGACGCACCGGGGATACATCGCTCGTGGGCTGCTATAGTGGCGCAACTCAAATACGCATTTTGAGTTAATGTACTCTCTAGAATTGCAGATTGATCTACCGTTCAGCAGCAACATCGACGTATCTTACAGGTGAAATCGTTAAGTCATTTATCTCGACACCTGAGTTTTTGAGTTGTGCCACTGTTGCAGCCCACGAACGATTTTATTGCATTGTCGTTGCGTGGATAATGTAAGTTGTTTATTCTTCAAACCGTTTAGACACAAACTTAATGTTAAAAGGTAACTGAACATTTACTTGCAGTTGATGAGTGAATTATTAGTCATAATATTCATGGAACTAATATAATTCACGAATAAATATGGACTTTCACAGTACACCTGGGGGATTTAATGGAAAACTAATAAAGTTGGAAAAGGTCAGGCAATTTAAATACACAGCATGCGTGAACAGAAATACTTTTTCTGTGCCGAAAAATTTGATACGCAATATTTTAATTAATAGCAATGTTTTGTGAAAAAAACATTTTTATTTTCTGAGTAGATATCGTAATGGAGTTCAGCGCGTTCAGGCACGAGTGCATCCCTCAGGGGCTGATCGAGGACGTTTTTCCAGAGGAGGGTGGCAATTTCATCGCGCACTCTCCATAAATGTTATTAAAATCGTGGAATTAAAAAAATATTCTTTTGCATGTGAATTTTTAAAAAAATTGAAACAAATTACAAACAAATGGTTTTGAGGAGGGAAGCATGGCCTTTACACTCCCTCCCTAGGTGCGCTCATGCCTCCGCATTGACAGTGCATAGTTTTAGAGACGTTCCATGACTCACCCTTCCAAATAATTTATTATATTATTTATTCTTGATTTTGCCATCAAATGCCGAAATCTGACCCGAAATATATGAATAATTTAATACCACTGGGAATGAGTAAGTTTTGATGCTTCGTGCGTCAAAAACTCAGAGACGTCTACTACGGAGGTGACGATATTCCTTCCATGCTGGAAAGTGAGAGACGGGCTCTGCTCCTGCATTCTTTTAGCGTTGATTAGAGAAACCTCGAAAAATTATCGACCAGAACAACTGGTTGCTATAATTCTCATGGTATTTAAATTAGCCCCAGATACCAGAGATGCCAAGCTAATATTAAAAACCGCCGCTCTCGGGACTTGATCCATATAAATTCCATGTTAACGATGCTGCGCGGGTGCAGTGGTTTTGCCACTGAGCTGTCTCAAGCTTTTGAATCGATTTGAAGAGTATTTCAGTGATAAAATAATGGTACTTTATGCATCTAGTTTATTATATTAAGCTTTAAGCATGAGCATATTTTTTTAAAACGAGCAACGTTAGGAACGAGTTTTCAAATTTGTACGAATAAAGCAGCATTATTATTAACGAGTTGCATACGCTATTTTTTGGATAACATTATATGTTATAACATAATCAAAGTTAATTTTGTGATTCAAGTATGTGACGTCACGGGTGTTTGTCATCTGCGTGAATAAACGATGGTTGGCTGTTGGGTTTACTGCTACCTTCCCACAATTCTCTCGCTGCGATTGACTGCATGCGTGATAACGCAATTATTAGTGCTATAAACGGCAAATAGTCAACATCTGTGACATAAGATGTCATTTTATGCACGATTTCTTGTAACGGAAAAGGTATTTTATAATACTTGTTTTGCAAAATATAAATTACTTACGTTCTTTAAATAATAGTGTGGTTTAGTAAAACAAGGAATTCCCACATTTATGTGAAATTGAGTTATTAGCATTCAATAAAACTTCAAATGTTATTTTTAGTGTAATATGTTACTTAAATCCAATGCGGACTTATAAGTAAGTGAACTACGTTTAAATGTGTTCTGATTGTGAGTTATATTATGAACGTTGGAGTAGTAGTTCAATATATCAGAACTAGATCATTGAGGGATTGTCCCCTGTTCTTCTGAGCCCTTCCACTATTACAACACTCAAGAAACGTGAGGAAGTCTCACCCTGATGCGCCAATCGGGGCAGCTGCCGCCCACGCCTGCGCACTGCGATTTGGACTCGAGGAAGTAGTCCTGGGCGTCTCCGGCCAGCGAGCTGTGGTTCACCCACACCACCGCCACGTCGCCGCCCACCATGCGGCTGCGCGAGGCGCTGCCCGACAGCCCGAAGGACATGTACTCGCCGTCATCTGCGCATGCGCACACCACACGCACTCACATCAGCCGGGCTGCAAGTGCTTAAAGAAGAAGCTGAAGTATGCCGGGCGGACACGCGGAGAAATCTACACGAGAGATGGCATTGGAAATGAACGCTTGCTCTAAATATTCCAGGAGTTTCGGAATTATTTAGGAAGAAGAAACAAATCTGTGAGAAAGTTAATGCGCGTATTTTTATTTCCGTAGCATCCCTACGCCCCGAGAAAGTTAAAACATTCTAAACACAATTTAATTTGTATCTTATACTTCATTCACTCCACTTACCAAACCCGTTATATTGATGTTTAAAAATGTAGACAGATGGTCATGAATGGTTACTTTAATGGCTATTGCAAATTTTCAGATTTTCATTTTCAGATTTTCATTTTTGAATATGTGTTTTTTCTTTTAATAACAAATTATTTTTATATATGATTTTGTATGAAGAAACCTCCTCCAACAAATACGATGAAGAATGAAAGTAGTTAAGTGACTTAGAGGAGATATCTTTCCTTCTCTGAGGGACAAGCAAATTAGATAACTTATGTGTCAGAGGGAAAGTAATTCCAGTTATCCAGAGAAAGCTATTCTACATTAAGAAGATATGCATGCGTGTTTCTAGAAATCTTGTTTCAAATATATCATTTTTGGAATCGATGTAGTAATGAAATATCCGAAACCGATACATTTATGAAGTCTGAGCAAATGTGTTTTAAGTAGCAGTAATCGAGGGAAAGTATAAAAAATAGATTTATATTGAAGTTAGAATTCTCCGCCTTGGATTTTATTTAACTTGTTTCTTCCGTGTTCTTGGAATTATACGAGCAACTAGAAGAGAGAAAATCGTCATAATAACAGCAAGAAGGTAGAAATGAAGTGCGTTGGCCATGTTAATGGACAGACGATCGGATGAACGAACGGGGAACATGGTGAAGAGGCGGATAGGCAGATGAACTGATAGATGGCCTCCCAGTCGAACGGATGAACAGATGAAAGAACTTGCGAACCAAAGGGCAGACGAGATGATGGGCTGACACGTGCAACATGGTGACAGGCGAACTGGCGGACGAATGGGACGGACGAGAGGGACGGCGAACTTTCGGGCGGACGCGCGGGCGGCGGGCAGATGGAAGTGCGGATGGATGGACAAACGAACGGGCAGACAGCAGGAACGACGGACGGATGAGCAGAGAGATGGCTGAACTGGAGAATTGGGTGGCCAGGGAGCGGTAAGGAGGCGAGTCGTCGGACGGAGGGGAAAGGGCCGACGGGAGGAGCCGGCAGCGGAAGCACTCGGTCCGGGGGCGCGCCGCCGTCCGTTTCTCCAGCAGCTGCTGCTCTCTCTTCCCCAGCCCTGCGGCTTCGCAACGCGTTGCGCTGGCACGGGAGGGAGGTGCGTTCGCCGAGGGTGCCAACAGAGCGTGGAGTTCGTTTTGTCGGGCGATAGGAAGGAAAATGAAGACTATTTGTTGTAGTAAGAAATGATCTAGTACTCTGAATTTTCGTTTCATTTATCCTCAGCGAGAGGTTTGGTGGCGATTAATGCACATTTATTATAATTATCAATCCTTTAACACAGTATCTGTGATGTTTCCAGTAATACTATTATTAATTAATTATTTGGATGTTACGATTTTATATGGTTGTTATGACATGTGTCACACCTAAGCGTTAAGTTAAGCGTTCTGGGAACATATGAATATAATGTATGTTTAAGAATCTACATTACCTCTTTTTAAACACTCACTTTAGCTAAGTTCAATGAAGCAAAAAGAAAATTAATGAAGCTATTTAATTCATTACCACTAGTTTCAAATTATTAATACTGTGGAAATTGCGATAAATTCTACTAATGTATTGAGTGGGAGACACGAAATGTAATAGGTATGATTTCCTTTAAAAAAACTAATCATCTGTTATTATTTTGTCGATTCGATGTTGCGAAGTGCAGGTTTTATATAATATTGGTAATATCACGAGAGTTTGTTTTTCGTTTCTTCCCTTTATTAATTAATTTTCTCTCGTTTTGTACGTTATTTACACGCTTTCGTGACATATATTTTAATTTATCGCTATGATTTGTGTGACATAAAATGTATAAATAACAGATGTAAGATTCACATAAACATTTAGTGAATAATGATGGGTATATACCGAATAATTTATTACATGACTGCTTTGACAAAGAAGAACGTGTGAATAAATTTCGATGTAATTCATCATTCTGATGAGTTCGCAATCTTGTAGAACTGGGAAAGTATCTCTCGAGTTCTTGTTGCGGTCAAATGTTTGCTTATCACCGGCGAGTGAAACGAAATAACATTATTATCCCGTGAAGGTGAAATGACCATAACGTAAAAAATGATTATGAAGGGAAAAAATGTAGGGCACGATGACGACGGGGAAACGTTCTCACTCTCTCGAGTGAATGCCAATTGGCATCGATCTTTTTGTTTGAGAAAGTCTTCAGAATGAGAGTGAACATTACTGATGTTGGGTCGTAAGTGAAGTGTTGGAGGAGAAATAAAATAAATTCAATGATTTCATGAGATGCGTTCAACAATTGAAATAATTCAGTATTTTTGAAGAGATGACTTGGACAGACATTAATAACCTTAAATATTATATTGAAGTCAGGTTCACGGGGCTTGGTCGGTAGGAACAAACAAATTTAACACATAGTTATTTGCTAACGTCTGGAAAATGTTTTTCCATCAACAAGGCTTTCAACCAGAAGAGTAAACAGACAAACAAATAAACAGCTACCTGTCCTTGGAAGATGTCTGAGAGGGTAGGATGCTGACGGAGGGTTGAGGGAGGTTAGACGGGGGGTAGACGGGATAGGAGGACGGTGGGTGTCCGACAGATTCTTGAAATACTTGATTTTCTTCGGATTTTGGGGGAATCTTTGGAGGGCTCTAAGGAGGATTTCGGGCTCATTTGCGAGGGGCTTACCGATCTTTCCGACGAGCTGGATGACGACGCTGTCTCCCGCGACGGCCCAACGCACCTCGAAAGCGTTTTCGTCCCACAACACCTCGCAGTTCAGCTTCGACTGCAACACACCACAAGCACTGCACCGTGAGTGATAGGGTGCCATATCGCGCGCCGAGGTTGGGGGGTTGTGCTTCATGCAAGGGTCAGTGTTCAATGTAGGATTTACAAAATATTGTGTAGCTCATGCACGACTAATCTACAGGTGTTGCAATGTGCCAGAAATAATTACTTTTGTTAGCTTTTAAATTATATTTTTTCAGTGCGATTTATAATTTTATTTATATCAAAGGTTTAAAAAGTTAACTGCCATTATGTCCTAATACTTATCTGGAATACAGAATGTCAAAATCATGTATTTATTACTAGAAAGTTTTGTTTACATTTTTTATTTACAGGATAGTGTGTTATCAAATATATTTTTAAGTACCAAATAATTCAAGCCATATTACTTTTTGGCTTATTGAAACCAAAAGACCTGCACATTTAACGCTCCTTTTCCTTCATCCTTGTCTCACAATATCACCTTTGATATGAAGACTTTAATTGTGGAGCAATATGAGCACTAAAATTGTAAGAATTTTGCGTTGGATTCTTGTGTAATTGTTTGGTTCTGGTTCTTTCTTGGACTAACGCAAGCTTTCAATCAGAATGTAAATCAAGAGCGACATGTGTGACGTGAACATTGGTATGGTAGACGCATGACTCATCAGCGGGAATGAGGGGTGACGGTGTTTGGAATTGCTTGAACTTACCCTCTCACTTGATAATCGACCAGCAATCGATCGTCATTTTTGCTTTAGATAGTCTTTCATACTGTGAAAAGTAAGTGAAATGAATACGTGGGTGGTGTATATTTGATTACTTACCCTCCTCAAAGATCTGTCAGACTTGCATACAAATATCCCTGAGTAGAATTTTTGTTTGGCTCATTTATCTTTATCTCTTAGTTAACGAGTTCCTTCCGTCGTTCCTTCGTTCCTTCCTCCCTCCTTCGTTCCTTCCTTCGTTCCTTCCTTCGTTCCTTCCTTCGTTCCTTCCTTCCTTCCTTCCTTCCTTCCTTCCTTCCTTCCTTCCTTCCTTCCTTCCTTCTTTCCTATGGAAGTTTCATTGAGGCAGAGTTTCAGAATTTCCATGAAACGCCTGTGCATATATTTTGCTGTAATCTTGAATATTGATGTGTAATCCAATCTATTTTCTTAACCCATTTTTTCGCAAGTGTAGAATTTTTTAAATATTCAATATTAGCTTAATGATCGTTGGCGTCAATGACGAAGTGTTGAATTGCGGCTGTTGATGACTACGACAATATCACGAAGAATATATACCCAAGAGAAAATCAAATATAAGAATAGAAATCATTGAGCTCGACCAATGTAGAACCAAGAAGATATGACAACATCGTAGCCCCCAAAAATGTAAAATTATATTGTAAGTTTCCAGTGAATTTTCATATACAACCGACAAAACATTGCTGCTGTAATTACTATGGGATTCAGTATGAGTTGAGTACGCGAGAGAGAGGAAAGCACCTGCAAGGATCCATTGCCATCGTTTTTGAGAACTCCTCGGGACAGCCAAGGAACTGACCGTACCAACTCCAAAGAATGCGTGTAAATGAGCGAATATTGTAAATGCGAAAGTTTAAAGAAGTGAGTATGATGTTACAGGTGTATAAATTAGAGTAATTGAAACAGAATGGTATCCTCCTGTTCTTGCGACTCTTTGTCCTCTTCCTCCTCCCCCCGATTTTCCTCTTCTTTAACGTCCTCCTCTTTATTGTCAACTTCAGGAAGGAGACGTGCCTTATGATTAGCCTTTTCATTTCTCTGATTCTTTTCTAGGCATGTCGTACATTTGAGAGCTCTTTGAATAATTAGATGGACCGGCAAAGGTGGCTCAGAGCATCAGATGATGCCAGAGTAGTGCTTCTGACCGGGAGATCTAGGTTTCGAGTTCGGGCAGTGGTAGGATTTTCGACACTAGCTTGTCAGCGAAGTCGAATTTAGCCGCTGTTCTGTGGAGAATTTCAGCGGCCGGCAGCTGATCGATAGTTTTCTGTGGTTTCTTATTTCAACGCCAGATGAATGCCGGAGCAGCCAGCTATCAAACGGGCCACGAACCACGCATGATATTTCCTTCCTTGACCTTTCCTCCCTCTTACGTTTACACTCACAATGCACTACACTACAACACATCTCGGGAGACCAGTCATGAACTTAGAGCTTTGACCCAGCTGAGGTGGTGCCACACTGTACGGAGATAGTAGGTGGGGGAAACTCCCTCTAGCCGACTAAGGTCTATGCCGGACCTTATCATCCATAAGGAGATCCCTGCCACCTCACGAGCGAAAACTGAAATCCACTTACGGGACTAATGACTTCGCCATTTCGCCAATATGAAATGTGTGTTACTGCAACCCCGAGTCTTAACGGATGAACCCCGTTGTGCGAGTTGGTCGCTGAACGCCAAGGCCTAGCTTCTCTCCGTGCGGGCGCGGGGTCCGCGGCCCGGCCCGGCCCAGCGCGTTGTGCCGCGGCGCGGCGCGGCGCCGCTGTTTTTGCTGCGGGAGGCGCCGGCCGCCCGCCTGCCGGCCGATACCCCCCGCCAGCGCCGCTACCCTCCCCTCCCCCTCCCCTCCCTCCGCCCTCCCCGTGCGCCGACGCGCGCCTCGTCCTCTTCTTCTCGGTCTCCGATTGCTGCCCTTAACACTCCTCCAGAGGATCCACGTTCAAGGCGGGCAAACGCGCCACGAGACCAAACTAGTCTACTTTCAGGATGTCTATCTTACGCGGAAGAATGGGGGCAACGTGCCCGAAAATCGCAAAAGTTGGAGTGAGTTCCCTCGCACAGAATGTCACGTTTGCTTACATCTACTTAAATGAACTTACCAAGCATATTTCACTTAACGTCTCCGGCAAGTTACTGCAGTATGATGGCTCTTGTGATCCCCAGTGTTTGATAGCTCCTACCTCCCTCGCCGAATGCCCCAAACCCTCCCAGGCTGCACCCACCATCGCGATGTGGCCGTCGGTCGAGGGGTGGAGGGAGGGGGCTGGGGGCGGCAGCGGCGCGGTCAGCGTCGGCGCGGCCGCGTGGAATGTAGGAAGGAGACGCGGCGGCGCCCTCCCCGCCAAGGTCACGCTTTTTATCTGGGTCAGCGCCTGGAAGCGCCGGGAGCCCCTCCCCCTTCCCTGCCCAGGTGCGGGACCCACGCCAGGCTGCCTTGCGCCCCCTCACGTGGCCGCGCCGCCCCCGCCGCCTATTCGGAGGGTCTCGTAGCCAGCGCTTGTCCTCCGTCGGCTCAAAATTATTTTTTTGTGCTTGCGTATTGACATATTGGTTCTCGAAAGACAGAAATCCCATCCCAATGTCTCAGCATTTCGATCTTCTCAAGCCAATGATAACTGCACCGTTAAATGAATAGAAAAACTTGAATGAGTGCTTGATGAAACCCTTGTGACGTTGCACTCCGTTATTAGGTCGTGTGCCTACTTCAACAGAATGTACGTAAATGCAGAGGAAACGAAAACACTATAGGTAATTTGCTCGAAGTTTTAACCGTGTAAGTTGTAGAAAAGAATAAGAGAAAAGGAGAAAAGCAGGGTGTTCTATTACATTCGATTATAATAGTATAGAGATCAGTGATAGAGATGATTTCCATAACATTCTTTAAATCAACTCTTAAGAATCTGTAAACAAATGTATTGATAGTTTCACAGGAGTGTTGACTTATTAAAACCCGTAGTCTCAAACACAACGATTTGATTGACTGTCTCAAGATTGTTTCTAAATTATCTTAGCGTTAGAAAGCGGACTTCCAATATAAAGTTATCGCACAATTTGAAGCGGAATTTCAAAGTTGAACAATTCGATCTCCTAAGTTAATTCAAAAAAGCTTGTACACAACTACAAGTATGCAGATCGACTCCAATGTCATATGTTTTAAAAATTCATCGACATATAAAATTAGTAGTCATCGATGCTTCTCTTACGTATGATCGGTGTGATTGTGTTTCCTACTCTGCATCAATTCTCCAGGTTCTACTTCCATCTCCATTTCCGCCGCCTCCGCCTCTTCGTTCGCCTCCTCCTCTTTGTCCGTCTCCGCCTCTTTCTTCCACTCCGCATCCATTTCCTCCGCCTCGTTCTCCGCCTGCACTGGAGCGCTGGAAGCGCGTCCGCCCGTTCCTCGCCCGGGAGGCGCTGCCTAACGGCCCCACTCGAAATAGAAATAAGGCCGATTCGCCCCGGCCCTCGCTGCTTGGGCTGCAGCTTCGCGTGGACCTCCCAGAGGCTGCTCTTCTGGTGCGTGGTTGCTCCTTGGCTTGCAGCGCTGTCTATACAAGTTCAGGGGCCTCGAGCGAACAGCGCAACTGTGTCGGGATGGACATGATTAGCTCTTATCCTTTCAGTTTTGCTATAGCAGTGTTGAAGCAACGTGTTTGTCGAAGGACACGACATATTTTGGTCGTGAACAATAGAAGACGTGTTCGAAAGTTAAAGTAAAAATGTTTATAGACATCATCGACCGTACTTTAATGCTTCCACCCTCTACTTAAAAGGATTTCACTTGGAAGTTACGTGGTCACGTACATTGCATTGCTGTTCTGTCGTGACGAGGGGAGATTGCATTGTGCTTACATTATTGCCAGTTGTGTGGAGGGAGATTTCATCGAGCCATTCTTGCTACCGAGACTCACGGGTGATAATTACTCCGACATTACTGACAGTGATTGGCGTAGTGTAAACCCCTGTGAAGAGCATGAAGTATAGTTGTACGACATCGGGCCGGGCTTTCCTTCGTGTCGTGTGCACTCTAAGTTTTTAGAGAATGCAGAATATAGTTGCTGACGTGGACAATCAATGGTGCTCATGAAAATGCCAGTGGTCGCCAATTCCCGTGACAGCCGTCGCATATATCCTTTTACATGAAGGTTTCTTGGAACTACATCCGAGAAGAGAGAGCTTGTATACTGTAGCTTTTGCTTTTCGTCTTATCCTTCAATGCATTCCAGAAGAAAAATTCTCTCATCCATTATTGGCATATCTTTAGTCTTA